AGGTGGAGGAGGCGTTCCGGGCCGTCACCCTGCAGCCGACGGTGCCGCAGGTCATCCGAGAAGAGAATGAAGACGGCGGTGCGGCGACCGACACCGCGAAGGCGAAGGCTCGTGCTGCTGAAGACGCCTGGCTAAGGCGGGAGGGCCTGGCATTCGTGGCCGGGTATGTTGCAGCGAGCTGCCAACATATCGATCCATCCCTCGGTCTGCCGACGCGTGTGGCGCCACCGAGCAGTGTCCCACAGAGTTGGATCCGGGCGGTGAGCAGAGGAGGACTGATGGTCCCGTCAGAGCGTTGGATGTCCGTGGTGGAGGCGTTCGAGGTGCTCTTCTGCATCCTCATGGGCACCTCTGCGGACCGGAACCCGGGCATTGTTCGGCGGCTCATGGAGCTGCTGCGACAGAAGGAACCGGCCCTGGACCTCCGGATCGCCAGGAAGCTGGTACGTACCAGGCTGCACATCCGGCTCAGATTCATCAATCAAGCGCTGGCTGAGGCTGCCGCTGCCAGGAGGGCAGCCAAACAGGTCCGCCAACATGTCCGGAGCTCTGTTGGTTCTGAAGCAGGATGTCAGGCTTGAGCGGTCGCCGCTCACCTGGTCGTCGTGGCTGGCTGGCTCGACTGCGCTGGGCTGGCCGTTCTGCCGCTGACCTGGCCGTTTGCCGCTCGCCTGGCTGGCTCGACTGCGCTGGACTGGCCGTCTGGCGCTGCCGCTGGCCTGACCGTCTGCCCCTGACCTGGCTTGTCTGCCGCTCGCCTGGCGGGGTCATCTGCCGCTGACCTGGCTTGTCTGCCGCTCGCCTGGCTGGCCTGTGCCGCTCGGCTGCTGCTCGCCTGGGGCCGTCTTCCGCTCGCCTGACCGTCCGCCGCTCGGCTGGCTGGCTCGACTGCGCTGGACTGGCCGTCTGGCGCTCACCTGGCTGGCCTGTCTGCCCCTGACCTGCCCTGTCTGCCGTTGACCTGGCCGTCTGCCCCTGACCTGGCTTGCCTGCCGCTCACCTGGCCGTCTGGCGGTCACCTGGCTGGCCTGCCTGCCGCTCGCCTGGCCGTCTGTCGCTCAACTGGCTGGCCTGTCTGCCCCTGACCTGGCCTGTCTGCCGTTGACCTGGCCGTCTGCCGTCTGGCCGTCTGCCGCTCGCCTGGCTGACCTGCCTGCCCCTCGCCTGGCTGACTCAGCTGCCGCCGCCTGGCCTGTCTGCCGTTGATATGGCCGTCTGTCGTTTGGTCGTCAGCCGCCCGTCTGGCTGACTCACCTGCCGCTGACCTGGCCCTGTCCACCGCTCAACTGGCTGGCCTGTCTGCCGTTGACCTGGCCGTCTGCCGTCTGGTCGTCTGCCGCTCGCCTGGCTGGCCTGCCTGCCGCTCACCTAGATGGCTCGTCTGCCGCTCAGCCGCTCGCCTGGCTGGTTCATCTGCCGCTGACCGGGCCTGTCTGCCGTCTGGTCGTCTGCCGCTCGACTGCCGCTCACCTGGCCTGCCTGCCGCTCGCCTGGCGGGGTCATCTGCCGCTGACCTGGCCTGTCTGCCGCTCGCCTGGCTGGCCTGTCTGCCGCTCGGCTGCTGCTCGCCTGGGGCCGTTCTGCCGCTCACCTGATCGTCCGCCGCTCGGCTGGCTGGCTCGACTGCGCTGGACTGGCCGTCTGGCGCTCACCTGGCTGGCCTGTCTGCCCCTGACCTGCCCTGTCTACCGTTGACCTGGCCGTCTGCCCCTGACCTGGCTTGCCTGCCGCTCACCTGGCCGTCTGGCGGTCACCTGGCTGGCCTGCCTGCCGCTCGCCTGGCCGTCTGTCGCTCAACTGGCTGGCCTGTCTGCCGTTGACCTGGCCGTCTGCCGTCTGGTCGTCTGCCGCTCGCCTGGCTGGCTGGCTCGACTGCCGCTCACCTAGTCGTCTGCCGCTGACCTGGCCGTCTGCCTGTCGCTGGGCTGGCTCGGCTACCGCTCACCGGCCCTGACTACAGTATTCGTCTAGCCGCGGCCGCTTTGGGGTGGCTGCGCGGTGGTACCTATCGCGCCGATCCGTCTTACGTCTGGTGTCTGAATGCTGATGATTGCTAACTTTATGTGGTATATGCTATGTCTCTGGTGATGGTTGAGGTTTCTGAGCTGCGCACGACTACAGGTTCGGGTACTATGCTGCACTAACAGTTTGCGTCATTTAGTTTACCTTCGTTTGATGTTTGGAGCTCGGTCGCGTGGCGTTTAGATGATTTCGAACGCTACAGCAGACTACAGGGATGGGACTAGGATAAAAAGTTGGATATTTTTCCGCTATGTCTCGTGGCTACCGCAAGGGACCCGTTTGATTCCCTGAGTACTGATCAAAAGGGCACATTCGCGGGCGCGACTGCCGGGTTCTGAGCCAGCTTTTCGGGCCGCAGTTCTGTGGTCATCATGTGGCTCTCGGGGCTCTCCTGTGTAATCGATCTGTTACTGTTTTCTGCATCAGTTGACAAAAGCAATTAAAAGGCAACGGTCATTATATGTGTGTGTAGACACGCCGTAACACTCGTTGCTGTGTATTGCGTCAAGTCACGGATCCAGGCACAACCGCGGTTACAGCTCCGGGTCCAAGGCCGCTACTAGCACGCTGCTATCATACGTGGCAAATTCAGTGTCCATGGAGACATCAACAAAGTCTGACACTCCGATACTAACACAATCTGAGACGTCATCTCGCGAAATGCGCTAGCATCGTGGTAGCAGCACGGTAGCAATGTTCGTGAAACACCGCCCAAGAATGCCGGACCGGCGGCGGATCGGGGCCGTCTCTGACCACGTGACCGCCTCATGCCGATAGAAAGTGAGATGCACGTCGCCCTTGCGTTCCATGATCAGTCGTCAGAGGGGCCTTTGACAGAAATCGAATCGCTTATCGAGAGCTCTCGTTCGCCGCCTCCTTCTGATGCTTGGTTTGGGTGTTCAACGCTCATAGGCAGAGAAGAAGTGGTGAATTCCTAACCACGGCACGATGGACTCGGTTAATAACACAATGGTAATAGCCGGTCACGGCCACACTAAATCAGGAGGCGTGAAACTGACAACAATAATGAATAACGGGAAGTCGAAAGTGGATACTGGTAAATCATCCGCGTAGTTTCGGAAAAACACTGTCCCGGGCCAGATTCGAACCCGCCCCGCCCGGGTGGTAGGCGAGGATCATAGCACTGAGCTACTGCAGCCGCCACCGACGAAGCCGAAATGAGGGGTCGGGGCAGGGCTGAGGACTAACATTCTTTATCAGCTCATAGCGACAAATGTGATGTAGATAGAGCAAAAATGTATTTGAATAAAAGATAGAGCTTGAAATGGTCTATTCTATGACATGAACAGAATATTGCAGACACAAATAGGTTTTCCGTACCGGGCTTCAGAAAGTGACCCATTTCTACGTCTTTCATACGGGGAAACGCGCTTTGAGCTCGTGTGACGTCACAGGTTTACGTAAAATCCCCGGATGACTCTACCTAGTATATAGGGCCTTGCTCTGATCGGTATTTGTGTGGAGTCGGAGGGGTGGCGGGGGTTCGCGCGAGGTTAGGGACTAGGGTCTGAGAGAATACCAATCGACAACCTGTTTAGTAAAAGTGAAATAATACTTAGGTTTATCATAAATATAAGAAGGTAATTGAGCCAGTATCCAGACAAAGGAAATGGAAGAACCGAAAGGGAAACGCAGAAAGAAATCAGGCGCGCAACGGCGAGCGGAAGACCAAAAAGAGAAACTGAATCGACTGCTCGCAAAAAACAGGTCGATTACTGACTTTTGGGGGTAAGTAGGTATCTGATGTTTCTACAGATACTCATTCAGTGTCAAGTACGTATCTAAGATGCGATCAAGCGGAGGGCAGAGGTCGTGTTGGTCGTGTCCATGAGGGGTCCCAGTGTAACCGGGTAACCCAGATTGCAGAGCATGGCAGACGGCTCGACGGACCGCGTGCTATTTGATATATTTTCCATGCGCAATCTGGCTCGATTGTCATGCGCACCTTGCGGTTTTCTTGTTGAACGGCAGGGGCGGACCCAGCAAACTCCAAAGGGAGGTTCATGAATCGCAGTGGTGCCCCTACTTTATGCTTATACCCAAAATTAAAAACAACGGATTTCGGCCACTATTTTGGTGGTGCCCTATTTTCAGTTCTTTTTTTGTTTTATTTATTTTCTATTTTTTTGTCAGTGCCAGTGGTGCCCCAGCCCCTGGCAGGCCTGTGTTGCCAATGTCAAGTAGGTATGTGGTCTGCTCGGTCCACTATACGCCTGACCTCAACGTGCCATTCCTCACTAAAATACCTAGGTGCCCTCTACATGCCGCCCCTCCCAGAGTTCCTCGGAGCTCTCTATGTGCCGCCCCTCATAGAACCCCGCCACCCTCATTGTGCCGCCCCTCTGCACAATGCTACATCGCCGTCTGTGCCGCCCTCCCCAGATGACTTCCGCCCCTCCCTAGAGTACCTACCTCGGCGCTCTCTATGTGCTGCCCAGTGCTGCCCTCGCCACAACTTCCCGCCGCCGTCAATAAGCCGCCCCTCCCCACAATGCTCCATCGTCACATGAAAGAGAGAGAGAGAGAGAGAGAGAGAGAGAGAGAGAGAGAGAGAGAGAGAGAGAGAGAGAGAGAGAGAGAGAGAGAGGCGGTTTATTGAATCACATGGCTGCGAGGATAGCTCATATGTAGCGCGGCCTATGTGTTGCCATCCCCCCTCCCCCAAAGTGCCTCGGCGCCCTCTAGGACAATGCACCACTCTCGGCGCCCCTCACCACAAAACCCCGCCGCCCTCAAAGTGCCGCCCTTCCCCACAACGCTTTATCACCGTCTGTGCCGCCCTCCATAAACGCCTGCCTCCCCCCCCCCCCCAAGAGTACCTCGGCGCCCACTATGTGCCGCCCCTCCCCACAACGCTTTACCACTGTCTCTGCCGCCCTCCATATTTTCTATCACAATTTTCTATCACGGTCGGACCCCCTTTGGCGAAGCCTAATACAAAAAAAGCTTAATCAGCAATGAGGCAGCAAGCATCTTTTCCTAACAGGTCACGTCCTCATCCTGCCTCCGGCGGTCTCTCCTCCCAGCACCAGAAGGGAGCGACTCCAGAGACCTCAGACGAGCGACCGGAGGGCGCCTCCGGCGGTCTCTCCTCCCAGCACCAGAAAGGAGCGACTCCAGAGACCTCAGACGAGCGACCAGACGGCGCCTCCGGCGGTCTCTGCTCCCAGCACCAGAAAGGAGCGCCTCCAGAGACCTCAGACGAGCGACCGGACGGCGTCTCCGGCGGTCTCTCCTCCCAGCATCAGAAAGGAGCGACTCAAGAGACCTCAGACGAGCGACCGGAGGGCGCCTCCGGCGGTCTCTCCTCCCAGCACCAGAAAGGAGCGACTCCAGAGACCTCAGACGAGCGACCGGAGGGCGCCTCCGGCGGTCTCTCCTCCCAGCACCAGAAAGGAGCGACTCCAGAGACCTCAGACGAGCGACCGGACGGCGCCTCCGGCGGTCTCTCCTCCCAGCACCAGAAAGGAGCGCCTCCAGAGACCTCAGACGAGCGACCGGACGGCGCCTCCGGCGGTCTCTCCTCCCAGGACCAGAAAAAAGCGACTCCAGAGACCTCAGACGAGCGACCGGACGGCGCCTCCGGCGGTCTCTCCTCCCAGCACCAGAAAGGAGCGACTCCAGAGACCTCAGACGAGCGACCGGAGGGCGCCTCCGGCGGTGTCTCGTCCCAGCACCAGAAGGGAGCGACTCCAGAGACCTCAGACGAGCGACCGGAGGGCGCCTCCGGCGGTCTCTCCTCCCAGCACCAGAAAGGAGCGACTCCAGAGGCCTCAGACGAGCGACCGGACGGCGCCTCCGGCGGTCTCTCCTCCCAGCACCAGAAAGGAGCGACTCCAGAGACCTCAGACGAGCGACCGGAGGGCGCCTCCGGCGGTCTCTCCTCCCAGCACCAGAAAGGAGCGACTCCAGAGACCTCAGACGAGCGACCGGAGGGCGCCTCCGGCGGTCTCTCCTCCCAGCACCAGAAAGGAGCGACTCCAGAGACCTCAGACGAGCGACCGGACGGTGACTGTCTCGATCGTTCCAGTTTGCTTATCAGCGCATCTCATACCGCCAGGTTAGTGGACATTTGCTGTTTTTCTGCTGAATTTTCAATTGCGCAACTGTAGAAGGTTAATTGCATAAAGTTAATCAGCCTCTATGTAAGATGCGATGGCTTTGTCAACCGTACATTGTTTTCTTCGTTCAGTCAGCTTATAACGGGATTAACATATTAAAAAATATTGTTTTGTCTACAGTCCAGCATCGGCTGGTGAGGATCTCGACGACCCGGACATTGATCCGGAAAGCTCTTGTGGCGCTTCTGGCCAGGAAGCAAGCTCCGAAAGTTTCACCAGGTGAGATTTAGTTTGTGTAAAAAAGCGTTCTATCTTATTTGCTTGAATCTTTTTGTGCCACTCTATTTGGAGAAATTAACCTTTTGGAAAGAAATGCACGCTTTTGTGCTTCGATTGCGGCTTTGGATCTTTTGCAAGATAGGTATGAAAAGGTAGCAAAAGCATATAAATCATATTGGTGATCACTGGGTGATCATATTGTATCTGTCAACACCTTTTCTTTAACCCGCGCCTGTCTGTGGTCCGAAACTGCTGGATCGATTTTCAAAAATTTAACGGCGCTTGAAAGCCCTGGAGAATCTGTCGAGGTCAGGTCATAGTTAAAATTATTCACATTTCGGGCTCACACCAGCTTTCGGGCTCCATTGGGGCCCGGTACGAATTCCGGGATTACATTTAGGCCATTAGGAGTTCCGGGAAAACTGTCGTTAAAAGCTTCTAAATGTAACTCACGGTTTACTTTCACTGACGTAAATTGAAATCCGAGTGTTACTGTAGTATCAAGAGCCGTTAACCCTATTCCTGGCGGGGGGGGGGCCTCAGGAGCCCCCCCCCTGAGGTTTTTTGGTTATATCTCCCAAACGCGTTGAGCTAGGAAGCTCAAATTTTCTGACTTTTCCTAAAAGGCTTCTACGCAACATGTCTGAAAATTTTAGGTTGATCTGACCTCAGGTCAGGTCACCAGAGGCGGTTTGGTGACGCTACCTCAGAAAAGTTTGCAATCACGCCAGAGCTAGAGTTTTTGACCGATCAATTTCTTCTCTTCAGGGTTTAGTTAGGGTACCAGTATGTGCAATTTGTATATCTCGGAATTTTGATATCGGTGACCTAAGGTCAGGTCAATTTCGCGACCTCCCCATTATAAGTCAATGGGGGAAAAATCAACTCCCTGTTTTTACCACTAAAACGGGTCGGAATGGCCCCATATACCATACATGACTTCATATACGATCAACCTTCACTACCTTGAGGTCTGTTTTGCTGTTGGGCAGCTGTGAGGTCATGTGACGTCATCAAAGGTCACCAAAGGTTTTTGGCCAATAACTCCGTACAGGAACAAGATACAGACGCGTGGATGGTCTCATTGTGTTCAGCTCGTCAAGACGCATCGAATGATATACATGATGACCTCGAGGTCACGTGACCTGAGGTCAACCTTTGACCTTGACCTTTCGAGGTCAACATATATATCATTCGATGCGGATTGACGAGAGGATCACGATGATGCCCTTAGTTTGTTCCTATCTTGACTAATTCGAAAGTTATTCGAGAAAAACTCTCTCCATATCTAGTGCCGCCATTTTGACTTTTTCGACCCCTGTGACGTCATCTTTGACCTGACCTGAAAATGACCTTAGTAAAAATTGTAGATCTTGGCCGTGCGTATCCGATGCCGTTTACCGCTTGTCGCTATCTTGCTTCGTTCTCGAGATCTCAGGGGGGGGGCCGAATCGGCCCCCCCCCCCGCCAGTTTCTTGTCCCGGCGGAGCCCGCCAGGAATAGGGTTAAACGAGTAGAAACGGACGCGTAGAGCATACAGCGAATAGAAAGTTCATGATTGTATGTAGGTGTGTGTGAAATGAACAAAAGCGCATTTTATGTTTCGATCGAATTAACAATGCTTTCATTATTTTGGCAGGAGCACGGATCACGATGGCATTGAGACATCCTTGCCTTCAACATCTATCGCCGCGAATCTGGAGACGAACCGTTGGCCAGAACTCCCTACAACGCCATATCACCCCGAGCCAGCTTTGATTCCGAAGCACAGCCGTGAAGTAAAGGGGAAAATCCGGAACTCATACTTTAAGAGAGAGTGGTTTCAGCAATATCCCTGGTTGCACTACAGCGAAGAACTGCATGGTGTTATCTGTTTCCGGTGCTCTGCCATGTGCCGCAGACCAGGAGCTTCAAATTTCACCTCACAAGTCTCACCAGCTTTCGCTTGGCAAGGTTTCAAAAACTGGAATGATGCGCCTCATAAATTTGAAGCCCACGCTCGCTGCAAAACCCACACTGTGGAGACTATCGGTGACAGCGAAGGTGGAAGGCTCCTAAGGCAGGTGTGTGTGACAAACCGACGTGAGCAGGACCTCAACAAGCGGTGCCTGCGCACAATCATATCGACCATTCAGTTTCTAGCGCGACAGGGCCTCAGCTTGCGAGGGAAGACCGATGACAGCGGGAACCTTCACCAAGCTCTCAAGATGAGGACTGAGGACATACCAGAACTGAAAGGATGGATGGAAAAACGTGTGTCATGGACGTCGCCGAAAATCCAAAACGAGCTGCTGCACCTGCTGGCTAGAGAAGTATCGCTCCAGATACGGGATGACGTGGTCGGTAGACCGTTCTCTGTGATCTGTGACGGCACAACGGACGTGTCTGGAGCTGAGCAGGAGTGTGTTTGTGTGCGGTTCGTGGATCGCCACCGGCAAATCCGCGAGGAGTTCCTCTGCGTCGTGGAGCCGCCAGATACCTGCGGAGCCACCCTCGCTGCCATGCTAGAGGGAGTATTGAAAGGCTATTCCCTGGATCTGAAGTACCTCCGCGGTCAGGCCTACGACGGCGCTGCAAATATGGCCGGTGCCTACAACGGGACGCAGGCTATAATCAAGCGCACACAACCACTTGCACTCTACCTGCACTGTAGCGCTCACTGCGTGAACCTGGTGACAGAGGCCTTGTGCCAAGCATCAAGCATCATCCGAAACGCACTGGGTGTATGCAACGAAATAGGCACCCTCGTAAGCAGCAGTCACAATCTGAGACGACTGCTGGCGGCTTCCTCAACAGATACGCCCTATATCAAGCTCAGGCCGCTGTGTCCGACGAGATGGACTGTCCGAGGACAGTCAGTGAGGGCTCTCCTCGGCCAACTGGACACCGTCATACCAGCGCTAGAAGACATGCAGAACACGAAGGGAACATGCTTGGCAATGGCGAACAGTCTACGATCCGGCCTGGTGATATACGGTTTGGTCGCCGCCGATCGCATTCTCCACATCATGGAGCTGTGTAGCCGGCCTGTCAGAAGAGGGGTGCCACGGTGACTGCCACGCTCACTGCCATACAGGTAGTAGTCGACGAACTGGAGGTGGAAAGAGAGGAAGGCTGGAAGACAGTGGAAAAAGAAGCCGAGAAGAAGGTAGAAGAGAACGGTCTGGAGCCCATCAAGCTTCCAAGACAGACGAGAGCCCCAAGACGCTACAGTAGTGGAGCCACGGAGCATCAGCACAATAATGTCAGCGAGTACCTTCGAAAGGAGTATCGTGCGATGCTCGACACCGCCCTGCAGAAACTCAGACAATTCTTTGTCAACAATAAAGACCTCCTCCAGTACCAGGCCATGGAGAACGTGCTTCTAACAGGAGCAATTCCACCGGAGACGGAGGTACCGAGGGAGCCCACCATAAACTACAGTCGGCTAGAAAACGAGCTCAAGGCGTTCCATCGGCAGCACCACTTCAAGACGACCGAAGAAGCTGCTGCCATCCTGCTGGACTCTAACCTAAGGGACATCTATGTGGAGACAGTCAAGTTCCTGGACGTTCTGCTCTGCGTGGCCGTGTCTTCAGCCGAGGCGGAGAGGTGCTTTAGCAAGCTTCGGAGAGTGAAGAGCTGGCTACGGAGCACAATGACGGAGAAACGTCTATCCGACCTCCTGATCTGCCACGTCCATCAGGAGCTCCTAGATAGGGTTGAAATCGCAAAAGTCGTGAAGGCTTTCGTGACGGATGACCACCGCCGGCGAGTCGTTGGGGATGTGTGAAAAGAGGAATCAGGCGTAGCCGGAAATTCGAACCGGTGTAGTTTACTGTCGCAAAAAAGCATGTACATTGTACAGAGATCATTTGCATCAATTCGGTTATCGGTAATACATCTGACGAAGACCAGGATTTATTTTTCAATGGAAGCTGACCGCTTTCATGCAAACTTTTAACTTAATAAAAACAGACAGGGTATATCGGAGCAGTCAGTTTGTGTCGGGATTGTCGCGAGTCTGATCTTCCCGTAACATTCGGAAAGCCTTTGCAGATTAAAAAAAAGCAAAAGAGATAGATGCAAATAATATTGGGCTCATTGCATGCATTATTTCACGTGTGTGTGTGTGCTTATTTGAAGATTGTGCCTATCATTTATCAAACCGGTGCATAGTAGCAAAGTCAAACTGCTAGCAACGGGCTGACCGCCCATCTTACGCATACATATCTACCGCATAAAGTATCAATAATTCGAACACCAGTGCCGTGGCGGGTTCTCTGCGTCTGCCCTTATAACGTGTAGTCTGTTGACTGCTGATTATTGTTCTTATTTCCCAAAGCGAAAGTACTTGATGCACAACGGCCCTCAAACCCTCGCCTCTGGCTCCCAGAATATGAGTGCCGCCCCTCCCTTCGCATTTGATGTCGCCCCCGGAGGGAGATTTCCAGCCCATTTTTTAAGGAGTGATTACGCCCCTGACCCTAACCGTCTCAACAGGTGTGGAATGCATAGGTGAACTGGAGAGCGAACTACTTCGGTAGTCACTCATACATCTCACCCGTCTCAGCTTTCTTTTTGCAAATTGCAGTTTAACCCGCGCCCCACTGGGGTCTGCGTATAACACGCCCTGGGGGGGGGGCTATTCATAGCCCCCCTCCTAACTCCGAAACTACTGGGCCGATCGTCAAAATTCAAACGGCGTCTGATAGCCCCGGAAAAACTGTCGAGCGAAACCTAATTTCATTGACCTCGAGGTCACCGATGACGTCACAGGTCAGGTCAAAGTAAAAATTATTAGCATTTTGGCTTCTTCACGTTTTGGGCTCTGGCCGCCGTCTTACAAGTCCGATCAGGCTCATTTTTGGTTGACACACTCGT